CACACACACACACACACACACACACACACACACCATCAGTCTTCATCATTACACACTGTGGCATCACTCCACTAATCACCAGGATTAAATCACATCCTTCACTAAGCCACACACACACACACCAAAAAAGAGAAATTAAAAAACAAGGCCTTCCCACAGCTCCGAGCTCCGACCACCTGTTTCCCTGCTTCACTGACGGTTCCTCTCACTGGACAGCAAAATGTCCTAATGGCCGCCGTGACACAGACAGACGTCCTGTCAGCGGTCGTTCCAGCTGAAGTGACGCTGTGCAGAGGAAAGAGTGACACTGAACAATCCACATTTGAATATGTTTTCATCTCTGTCTCTGCGGGATTACACGAAAACTCCAGTTCCACAAAACTTTGTGAAAGGATGATGGTTTTTAAATATGAGTTTGCTTTCTTCAACGTTTTCCTTGATTTCTCTGAATAATTCATGGATCTTTATGGAAAAAAAAAATCAGGCATATTTAGAGGAGTGAGTGTAATTTGGTGCAGAGCCCAGAAAAACTAATGTGGATCATGTAAATTTAAATGTGGTTTCATTCAGCGGGCTGTTGCCGTTTTAGTCGTTAAAGATTTCAGGTTATTCTCTGTGATGATGTGCTGCAGGTTAAACAAGTGAGATGTGTTCATTTGTGAGATTTCGGTGCTGGCAGGTCGATTTTTGACTCTGATTTAAACCGTTTGCTGGAGCAGATGTGGCCGTTGCCCTCAGTCTCTATGCTAAGCTAAGCTAACAGCCTCCAGGTCCAAGCTTCATGGTTATGGTCATGTGAGGTATCAATCCTCTCATCTAAGTCTTAGGAAGAGAGTGAGTAATGGTTCTACTCTTTAACGCTGGGAATAAAACCAGGGCTCATCTGATGGTATCTTCATCATCTTTACCCTATTAATAAAAACTGTTCTGCAAAATTTGGATCAATATCCTGCGTGCAAGTTAAATTCAAATTTATGATCACACTTAATAAAAAACTTTCTCACTGTCCACAGCTTGTTTGGAAGGTTGTGGCAATACATGTGCTCAGTGAGGTTATGTAACCAGGACCCTGTTTGTGCTGTTGAATTTTTTTCTAAATGTCATATTTTCAAATCTGTGAGCACAAACAAAATTGCATTCCCCTCGACTTTTGAGCCATTTTTTAAAACCTGGTCAAAACATTTCTCTTTATCTGTCTGCAGGAGTACGTGAGGAGATACAGATTTTGTCATTTTTGGGTAATTTGGCACACACTTTAAATTTAAATTCATCTCTCGCTGTTCGTCCCACCGCTGTGCAAAGCTGACAAGTGCTGCTCTCATAGATTTATATATCCGCTGCGTGTCGATGGTAACTTTTTGGCTCCGAGACTTAATGTGACCGAGTCGGAGGCCAAACTGCACAAGCTGCCTCGTAATTATTCTCCCTGCTGCTGGTTGGACGTGTCGGGGTGATGATGGTGATCACAGACGCACAGAAAGGAAGCAGGCAGAGGGGCGCGCACGTATGCACGCATGTACTCAGAGCCAGCACACACCCACACGTGCACACACACACACAGAGTATACACTGATATGTACAGTTATCTACAGGTATCTTCACTGAAGCTCAAACTTTTGAGGTTTGTAAATTCAGTCAGCCCTATTTTCCCATTTTTGAAGTTTTCATGTTTTTGTACGGCATAGATCTCCCTCCGCTTTTTTATCTTTTTAAATCCCTTTTACAGCGTCACCCCCGAGCGCTCTCTGCTATACACACCCTCGTTGTTGTGGAGTTTAAAACTTCTTCTTTCCCACACAACCGTCTTCATCTACGCTGCTTCTGCACAACACATCTCAATGCAACTGCCGTCAGTTGAATTTGTGTTGAGTGCTACAACCAGTTATTGAGAGAGAAAGTGGTGAACGAAAGATAAAATGGTGGAAAGTAATTTTAAAGATACTCTTCGTCATGCGCACAAACTCCATTAACAGACGCACATAAACATGGATGGGATGGACACACACACACACACACCTTCACACACACAACTCTTCCAATGTGGCCCATGTTTATCTGGCTGACCTAATATTCTTGTATTGGCAGAGGAGAAGGTGTTTGAATGTCTTTTTGAACGTTGCGTTGCACAGAGCGTAGCAGGCCGGGTTGATGGTGCTGTTGATGTAGCACAGCCAGTAACCGATAGTCCACACTGTGTTGGGGATGCAGCTGGAGCAGAAGGTGTTGATGAGCACCATCACATTATAAGGAGTCCAGGTGGCTACGAAAGCGACCAGGATGGCCATGATGGTGCGGGTCACTTTTTTCTCCCGTGACGGCGCCGCTTTCTTCTTCTTGTTGGGAGGCTGCTTCGTCATCTTCACGATCTTTCGCGCCACATGATTCTGGCGCTCGGAGGCTGGTACGATCTCGACGGTGGCGTTGGACGGTGTGTAGCAGTCACTCTTGGGTGATTTGGTCTTGATCTTGATGCATGTCAGCTTGGAAGCCCCCGCCTTGGCTCGCTGACGTGGGGGTGGTTGACTCGTCTCGAGGCTGGAGTTGGCTGTGGACGGCACCGCCTCCTCATCCCTCTGATTGGATGCAGCTGCGCTCCCGGATGTGGAGTCGTTGGAGCTCTCCTTCTCTTCTCCAGGAGCACAATTCTCTCTTGCCACCTCATCACCTTCGGTTTCTCCCTCGGCATTTGAGGAGGGTCCTTTACCATTTTGCAGTTTCCCATCATGCTCGTGGGCCCCAGCGTCAGCATTCTGGGTCTGGGAACGCTCCGCATCCTCCCCTTGTACGTTGTTGTTGTTGGGTTTTGGCGTGTTGTTCCTCCTCTGGGCAGGTGACAGGGGTTCGGGGTTGGCTGCTGATGGCTTGCGGGTATCCTTCTTCACACGACTCTTGCTTGCTCTGGAGATCTGCAAGTAGAGGTGAATCATGATGATGACAGGCAGGTAAAAGGCAGCAATGGCCGTGCCAAACGTGACGGCGGCATTTGAGAAGAACTGGATGTAGCACTCTTTCTCCGGAACCGTCCGCCCACCAACGATGAACTGCCAGAAGAGAATGGCGGGCGCCCAGAGGACGAACGACAGGACCCAGGCTGCAGCGATCATCATTCCTGCCATCTTGGTGGTCCTTTTGACAGGGTAGCTGAGGGGCTTGGTGACACAGAAATATCTGTCAAAGCTTATGATGAGGAGATTCATGACAGACGCATTGCTGACAACATAGTCCAAGGCCAACCACAGATCGCACACCACGGGCCCCAGGGGCCAGTAGCCTATTACTATGTAGACTGTGTACAAGTTCATGGAGCACAGTCCGATGATCAGGTCAGCGCATGCGAGACTGAATAAAAAATAGTTGTTGACGGTCTGTAAGTTCCGATTAACTTTGATGGAAAGCATGACCAGGATATTTCCAATGACAGTAACCAAACTGAGGGAGCCGGCCACCAGCACGATGAACACCACCTCCACGGTCTTGTAGGCGCTCTCGCTCTCTTTCACGACTTCTGTCTCATTGCCTTCAGAGGCATTCCAGTAGGTGAAATTGAATACATCCATGGCATTTGGTCTTTTGTTGCCACCTCCTACTCAGATGGCACCTACGAAAAAGAGAGAAACAAAAGAGAAGAATTGTGATGAGGACTGTGTCAGCTTCAGGGTTTTTAGTCAATTGCAGATTTTTTCACGGCATGTATAATAGAGGGATGTGGAGATTATGTGACTAAACTCCACTCAGAAATATTTCAACCCTTTCTTTTCTCTGCATAGAAGTCAAGTGAATGGACTTGACTGCGTTTATATTGTGCATTTCCAGTCTTATCAACCAACCACTCAAACAAGGCACATTCATACAGTGCCTCTATGCACAGAGCTTTTTGTATTGCACACCATTCACACACTATGTGTTCGGCTGTCAGGGGACATTTGGGCTTCAGTGTCTTGCAGACTGGACAAGCCAGGGATCAAACTACCGACCCCTTGGACAGCAAATGACCCCCCCCCCACCGCAGAATCTATCTTTATACATTCACAAGATTCAAATGACAAACCACTGAATATGCATTTATGAGATTCAGTCACATCTAGTAGAATATATTCAATATGTTAAAGAAATGATGTCAGGGGCGACTATTAAAGACGCAGGGGTTTATTCTAAAATGTCACTATATTCATCTCTGAACCATTAGTTTGTGAAGTGTTACATCAGTTTTTAGTCTGTTTAAATACCAGCAACACATTTTAATACACAGATATCTGAGCATAAATAACTCTTCTCCATTAAACCCCTACTTTGTTAGAAAAAAAACCCATTCGGTGCACACTAATGGCTGATGAAAAATGAGGTGTGAAAATGAGGAAACAAGTCAAATGAGGACGTCACATCAATAGCCTCAACACAGATGAGGCGCAATTACTTTCAAACTAAACCGGTGGAGGAAAGATGTTAGTTCCTCTCTGGACAAACGAGTTCATTAAAATGATTCATTCGGTTTAAAAGGTTTGAGCCAATAAGTTAAACCTGTAACAGCGAAACAGGCACAGAAAAGGAATTTATGGATGAAAAACACCTTTGCTGTAATTTCTCCCTTGTTCTTTTATATATGTACGGCGCTCACAGCTGTACCTTCTTCTGGGCGTTTCCCGTCTATCCGCTATAAAGGACACATTTTTAACCACATCCTCCCTAAAAAGACAATCTTGTTGTTCTTCTGTCTTCAACATCCAAACCTCCTGATGGGCGTTTTGCGATCAATCTTCCTTCCACCACTGAGTCCGCACAACCGAGGGTTCACTAAAAACTTTAAAAGGAATTATTGACAGTATTGGAGCAGACGTTTTATCTTCAAAAGGTCTATTTCCAACTTGCACTTAAAAATTCTCCTCGTACGGTGCTATAAAATTCTTTTGATCCCAGAGTGGCCCGCTAGTTCTCGTTTTTAACCTTAAACACTCGTCTGTGTTGTAGACCTCGCTTTGATTCGTAAACTGCTCAGTTTCTGTGCTGCACAGAGCTTTGATATTAGGACGAGTGTGGTTTGTCTGCTCCGCGTCTTCAGCCGGGACTCGACTCCTGCTGCCTCATACGCTGCTGTGGTTCAGAGTGTATGGCAAGCTGTCACTTCTCAGCCTGACATGAATATTGTCAGGCCGGGGTCTTTCTGCAGGAAGTTTGCATTTTTCTCTCCGTGTCTGCGAGGAGACACCAGGTACTTTGACAGTCCTCGACATGCAGACTGAGGTTCATTGAAAAAAAGAGTTATTCTGCTTCTTACTCGTACTTATTATCTAAGTCAATGCAGTTTGTTGATATTGTAGTAAACTGGTGCAGCGATCTTTCTAAACCTGCCTGTTTGGAATGGGCTGTTTGCAGCTTTCTTTCTGAAACAGTTACAGTGACCTGCAGTAATTGAGTCAAGGCAAAGTAAAGAACCTGCCACTGAATCCTGAAGCTGCTCCACTGCTGCTGTTGCACAAAGAGCTGTTCACCTGTTTAATCAAAGCTCAGTGAAGCTCGCCTCTGTACGCAGAAACCCGAATCAGTCGCCGCTGCCCTGTTTGTGAGCTCTCGTCAGGATCGACATAATTACATCTGTTTGACTCGTTTGCATAAACATTTTTACTTTTAACATGTATTCCTTCAGTGTGGTAATTGTTCTTTTTGTTTTTGCCTCAATAATTAAAATTCTCATAACTTGGATGACATTTACACAACTTGATTTGGTGACAATAGATCGGCCATTGACCATGTAAAGAAGTCAGACGATGTGAGAGTGACGCATCACAGTGAATGCTAATGAAGTGTTACGGGTGACGCTCCACTGCAGCCGGAGAGCTGTCTTGTCCAAGACTTTGCCATTTCAAGCTTAAGGTCTTAAACAGTTGAGCAGAGTCGCTGAGTAACGAGAGGAACATTCACTTATCTGCTGCGCCAGAAATCCCTAATCATTGCATTAGGCATGGAGCTAAGCTGGCCTAATCCCCATAAAATGTTCAAGTCCACCATTTTATATTCAAAAACACCAACAATACCGATGGGACACACTTGTGGCTCGCTTGAGACAAGTGGATTAGAGAAGTAAAGTGGATCAGAATAGATGGTCATAGCACAGAGGAGACAGTTAACTCCCCTCGCTGCTCTTTGTCCACCTCCTGCTGCCATAAGCCTCGTCCCACACCTGCAATCTCTGCCATAACAAGCTGCACCCCAGACTGGAGTCAACGAAAAGATGCACAAATCCTTTTTAGCTCAATGTGGACAGCTGTGGTTTTCAAAGGTCTCATGGGAGGCCGGGGTTGGTTTTAAAGCCTCCACCCACACTGAGTCATGTTAGCATGAAGCTATTGCAGAAAAAGACTTGTGTGCTTTCCAGGAAAGCAAGGGCACATTCAATCTTGAAATATTTTTGCAGTGTTTGTCCTGTGGTTGAGACAAGGCAATGCACACAATGGATTCTTATGCACGGGACGCACTGGGTCTGCATCTTGTGCCTGTCACACCGGGAGTGTGTCTGCTACGTGCCTGCTGCAAAGGGTTTGCCTTTGAGAATGGCCATAGAATTTATAATAGGATGTAATATATGTCATTTTGTTGTGACAGAAAAAAGGCTCCATCTTCAGGTCCTGTAAACATTTCACAATAAAAGCCTTGAACTAAAAAAAAAAAGAAAAAAAAAAGCCATTGAAATGAATGGATTCAGTCAGAAGAGCCTCCACAGAACAGGAGGTGCTGCAAATAGTATTTTTCGCTTTGAATTGCACACGGAGCGAATCGGCGAGACACCAACATCGAGACAAGCAGCGCAAAATGTTTGCATTATGTTTATCGTTCATTTCATAATGAAGGTATTTCATGCAAGCTAATAGAGCAGCTAATTGTTGTGTTGGCGAAGATAAATATGACTAAAAATCACACCGCATGACATTTTATACATTACAGACAGAGTGTGTGCTTTTGTTTTTGAAAGGATTCCTGCTCAAATATCCTGAGATACAGTGAACAGGAAAAAAAACAACTTCAGTGTTGACTGGTAACACATCCTGGCATTCCAGCCCGCTGAGCACGAGTGCTGCTGCCGTCGCCTGGGGAGAGCAGCAGTGGCACTTTTAGCAAACTGCAGCTATCCATCATAGATCTTCCCTGCGAGTCTCAGTACGACTGTGCCGGTGCATCTGACGGAACCCGATCAGAACCTGAGTGACACCTCCATCATTATCCCCAGAGGAAAGAATATTAAATAAGTTTGTCCTGACGTCATCACCGTCCGGAACTCATCTGAGGTGAACGTGCGTCACTGGATTCCATCATTCTGAATTTGCCCTTTTTGTTTAGTGTATTAGAAGAAAAAAAATGAGACAGGCCACTTGCTGCCATGGGAGGAAGTGAATAAATGAGCTTGAGTATTGTTGAGTGTTCAGACTTACGTATTCCTGGCGCTGGCTCACTAGAGCTGAAAATTGCTTATGCCCTCTGGGAAACAGCAAAGGGCCGACCCTCACCCCTTTCTTTACAACTTACATCCTCACTTTGTCTTCTGTCCCACACTCTGGTCAGATGTCCACTGAGCAAAGCTAAATAACAGCACTACAGTAAAAAAAAAAAACCTAACAATTACTGCATTTTTGCTTGAATGACAATAAGTGCTTTGCCTTTCATTTGAAGCTAAATAACCACTTGCAGGGGTCACTGCGTTTGTCATGGACAGTCAACAGGTGCTGGATTTCTGTTGATGCAGCTTCGAGGATTAATGTGAAAAACATTGTTTTCAGATGTGGCAGCTGTGTAGATGCTTTTAGCTGCCTCTCTAGTGTCCAGAATCCTATTCCCCACCTCTGAGCACTGATCCAAGGTAAAGCCCAGGGCACCTGCCCCCTGCTTTTTGATGATTACATGCATTTTCATTGCTGGGCCTCTCTGTGGGAGCGTGTGGGGTTAGGCCTTCGTTTACTTGCTGTTTGCAGAGAAGCATGACTGGAATGCAAAAGCTATCATTGCTATATTACACCGAGTGGGTGCAGATCCTTTCAGTGCTCCTCTCAAATGGTATTTTCGGTTCATGGATATAAGCAAGTTTAAAAAATAAATAAATAAATCAAACCTACTACAGTCAAAACAAAAACACAGATGCTTTCTCACAAAGTGGGAAAGGTGGGTTAAATGCAATGAGATATAATATGACACATCAAAGTCTTTTTTTCCCACCTACATTCATTTGGACGATTAACATCCTGCCGCAGTATATATTGTCTCATTTCATTCCAAGTGTACGTAAATGACTGTTTACAGAGCGGCTGCCACTGCTGACAAGGCACACACACACACACACAGGAAAATGTACACAAACATTGGAAGAAATGTTTGGCAGGAAATGAAAAAGGTCCCGATAACCATCGAAGCAACACGCTGTCCCAGTGTGCTGATGAAACATGGCTATCAAAACCATCCGAATCTAAAGCTGGAGTATAATTACACATTTGCATTCACTTTCAAGGCCTTTCCACTGTCTCAAGGGAATCAGCCTGTGAAGGATGGATCTTGACAGATGCCTGCAGTGTAAATACTTGTTGGAAACCATTTATCCATCCATTTTCAGCCTCTTAT